TCAGCCGAGCTCTCACCCCCTCAGGAGCCCCACGGATCCGAGCCACTCCCATGCCACTGAGTCACTTAGCAGCAGCCGAGGGCTCAGTCACAGAGGGACTGCGCCAGTGCTGAGATCCCATGGGAAGCAGAGCATGTTTGCTACTGCAGCCCTCCCTCCCGCCCGCTGAGGGAAACCACAATAAACACACCGAGGAACAGACACAGAACACACACTGTGCCGCCGACATCCCTTTCCAGTTAAACCCACTTGTGGCTCCTCGGTGGGCAATTCCGAGTCCTCCTGAGGGAGTGATGCCAGCGGCAGGAGCCCAGGAGTGTGGACTCTGGGGCACTCCCTTGAATCACACCCCATGCAAACTCATCAAGCCCAGGCCCAGGCCAACTTCCTGCCACCTCCCACCCCCAGGCCTGATTGGGAGCCCATGACCAAGCCCCTCACAGTGCCCAAGCAGAGCTCCCACAGGTCCCCCATGGTCTGTGAGCTTCCTGAGGAGCCCAGGCTCAGCCCCGGTCACCGGCTGAGTTTACCCCACTATGTGGCCTCCTGGCTTAGTGGCTCTCCACGGGAGGACTGTCCCAATTTGAAAAAGGGCAAATTGCAAATGTCAACTGGCTGAGACCCAAGCGCAGGTTCTGGCCAGAGGCACTACTGTTACACCAGCCTGCGCAGTCTGGAGCCGGTAATGAAAGAAGCTGACAGTCCATTAGCAGCGGAGTGGTGGCAGGCCTGGGGAAGGAGCTGTCATCCACCTCACTCCAAGGGCTCTGGAGGGCGGAATCAACCGGGAATGTGTGAGCACGTGCGTGTGTGTTTGTTCATATATATATATAATTTTTTTTTTTTAACCAAGAAAGGAGTATCAGTGGCAGCTATGCCCCGTGGAAAGGAGCAGACAGCAATCTGAAACCCAGGGGAAGGAATGTCAACAAGCCGCTGGTATTGTGTCCTCCTGTCCCCTATGGGCAGCTCTGAGAACAAACAGAACAACTGCATGAAGGACTGGATGACCCTTCACGGTCTTTTCATCCAAGCACAACCACTGTGACTCTTCCCTTCAGTGCTCTGACAAGGACGCTGCCCCAGTTCCTGGGAACTCACCACCTACCGGGATGTTGTTCTTCCTGACCCAGAGCTTAAACTGGGGCCACGTAACTTTTATCTATTGCGTCTATATTTTGTCTTTGAAATCACACACACATACGCACAGAACCCAATCCTTTTCTACCCAAGACGGCTCTTTTGTGGATCTGCTTTCCATGCAGACGTGGTCTAATGCGCCCCACAGTCTGCCAACGGCTTTCTGGACAAGATCCAGCCTGCTAATCGCATCTTCGAAATGTGATTCCCACACTGAGAAATGTAAAATCTCTGCTGCAACTGTTCCCAGAGCAACCTGCATATGCACACGCACACTCGCACACGTAGAAATCATCGCCCCTAATTGTATTTTCACCCATTCCGCATTTCACCGTATTACTAAACGCCTTCCTGAAGTCCGAGTACATCCTATCCATGGTGTGTTCTTGATTGACTTTGTCCAGAAACAGGAAAAGCAGGAGGCGGGTGCCCAGGACCAGCCCCTTCCTAGCCCATGTGTGGGGATGCTTGTTCCGCACAGATCTCCTATTCACCTGCCTCAGATGACATTAACCTTCATAGGGGTCATTATGGCCTCCAGCTGAGCTATGGGCCAGGCAGAGACAAGGTTCTGGTGTTAGCACAGAAGGAACAGAGAAGTCAGGAAGATGACCATTTAGTGTGATGTGTCCACGACTTCTTTCCCCTCCGGGTGGTGAAGAGGCCAGCAGTGGGCTTCCAGTGTCCTCTGGGTGGGATTTTGTGCAAAGGAACAGCTAAGGGTAGAGAAGAAAGGTAACGCTTTAAATAGGAGAGGTAGGTGGGGGCGATCACAGAGCAAAGAGCAGTTCGCTAGGACTGACAGAGAAAAAAGGGGGTGGCAGGGACAGGTGCCCTGCAGGCCCACAGCATCTGTCAGCAGGAGGGGGCCTTCTGAACCCTTCAAGGGCAGCAGTGTCAGACAAGGGCAGATCCCAGGTGATGAATGCAAGGAACAAGAGCCCAGCCCAAACCCCTGGCCTCTGGACCCAGAAGCCCAGATCCTGGGGGACAGCAGAGGGGTGGGAGGACACCCAAAAGGTGATGCAGGGTTAATGTCTAGTGACTCCCCAGAAAGCAGCCAAATAAATTTGACTCCAGAAATAAAAGAACACAGCCAGGTGTGGTAGTGCATGCTGGTAATCCCAGTACTTGGGAGGCTGATAGGATTGTGAGTTCAAGGCCAGCCTGGGCTACAGAGCCAGACCCTGTCTCAAAAAGAGAGAGAGAGACAAACAGACAGACAGACAGAGAAAAGAAAGTGAGCTGTCACACATAGTAGTAGCTCCCCTCTTTTTTCCATTACCGGAGACCATACTCACGACCGCCTGCTTGCAAGGCAGGTGCTTATGCCGCTGAGCTAAATCCCCAGCCCCAGTGGCTCCCCTCTCAAGCACACTGCTGATTTTGGAAACATAAGAATACCACTTTATATTTATTCCTGCTCGCTGTTTCCCTCTGACCTGTCAAAGCAGCCTTCTGATTTATGAGCGTCCTAATTGCCAGTCATTTTATAAGCTCTTCCTCCAAGGTTCATGAAGCCTGCAATTGGGGCTGCCTCATTCCCATCCTTAATAAAAGGTGCCGAATCTCACTTGGCCAAGGGCAGAGGGCAGAGCTCCTGCGTGCCTGGAGGCTCCCTGCCTCGCTGGCTGTCACTCTGCCACAGCTCATTCATCTCCGGGGATTTATCTAAGGACTGCTATCCACGCCACAGATCTCTGCCCTGTTCGTAAGGACATACTGTCAGGCGCCCAGCCGAAACTCAGATGTACTCAATCTGCTCCTTGTTCTCAATCTATCAGCACAGTGACCCTATCAGAAGAAAGAAAAACACAGGCAGGAAGAAGGAAAAGAGGCCAAGGTGGCCTGACGCTGCCTGCCTCTGAGTGGCCTTCCTAAAGGCCTTCAAATCCGGCCGAGCCATACCCAAGTCCATCACCAGAGCTCAGGCACCTCTCTCCCACACAGAATGGCCAGGTGTCCTTGCCCTAGTGTCCTGTGGGTTTATGCATCGGAGTTCACAATCCGACCACAAGAGGAGGGAAGCAAAGAAGAACTGGAAACCAGACCACTGATGATATATATGTATTTATATATATTTTAATTAACAAGTCTACAGAAAACCTTCATGAAATCATGAAATCAGAGGTCTAATACAAATCATGGTGTCCTGTATATAAAACCTGGCATCAAATATGGCCTTTGGAATCATTTCATATAAAAATACGCATTAAAATTTGCACAGGAGCCCGTGTAGCCGCTGACTGGTGATTCTGAGGGAAGCAGCCTCGAGGAGGCCTGGCTAGTGGACGCGGGAGGCCCTGCTCGGCCAGCCTCCAGGCGAGCCCCACAGGAGAGTGGCCAGCTCCCAGCAGAGGCCAGAGGCAGGACCCCCGTGAGCACCAAAGAGCCACGAGCCTGGCAGGAAAGAGCAGTGGTGCCAGAAGAAGGGCAGGACAGGAGGTTTGGTCTTCTTTACTTGGTTTCAGGGCTCTGAATATCATTCCCGGAGCCTTGCTCTCTGGTGGACAAATTACTCCAATTTAGAGGAATTTTTGTAATTTCCAACTGCTTTTCTCAGGTTAAGCTGACCAGTTCTAACTTGAGGAGCCAAATCATAAGGGGCGTGAACACGAAGGACTAATAATGAGCTCTTATGTCATGTTCTGTGGGCCAAGACCTTGAAACACGCCCCGGGACGGCCACTCACAACAGGAAGTAGACGGAGGGCGATCACACCATCTGTTCAGTCCTGGGCCACAAGCAGCTGAGCCGTCGGAGCCCAGACGTCACAGAGGAAAGCAGTGCGCTCAAGGCTGCGCCCACGGGGTGTAGCCTCGCCGAGGGCTTCAGCTGTCCACATAAGGCACAGCCCAGCGAGGGCACAGCCCATACTGCACGGCCGTTTCCAAGGCCAACTATGGTTTCTCCACTGGCGGGGCTGTCGCCCTGGCTGGTACGTCCCCGGGTTTCTGCACTGCCCACTCGGTGGCTCTGTGGGAAGTGGATGTGTCCATGACAGGAAGCACACGTGGGAACAGGGCAGAGGGACACAGGCGCAGGGTGGACAGAGGGGAGCACCAGGACAGGCGGCTGGGAGGAAACGGCCCTGTGGACTGTAAGCGGCCTCGAGGACAGCAGTGCCCCTGTGACTTCGGGGCTCCTGACCGTTACTGAAAGGGCCGGGCTGCTTCTCGTCAGCCTAGCGGATCCCACAAACAGAAGACCGCTCCTCCGCTCATTTCTACCCAAAAGCAAGTGGTCCTCTCAGCTGCCTCCAGGGTGGGGTTTTCTTCCTCCCAGGGTGACCTGACACTCAACTGCGGCAAAAGGGCAAGGAGAGGCAGGGCACAGGGGTCCGAATCACAACTCGGCAGAAGCCCGGTGCTTCCTCTCGGGGCGGCATCTGCCAGGGCACCGTGCTGAGTAACGGGGCCCAGGACCAAGGACCACTTTTGCCCACTCGGCCAAAACATCAGGATGACACCGCGCTATGGCTCCTTCAGAACAGGAGGCCAACTGGTGGCTCCTCTGTGACACTTGAGGACAGTCCCCAGACATTCTGCCTGGAACAAGCAGGCACTGGGGCCACTCCACTCTAAAGTGGCCTGACAACACCCTCTAGTGGAAATTAGAAATAAAACGAGGCCCGTGCATCCAGTTCCTTCTGGTTGCAGAGTGGTTTCAAGATTCTTCGTATCATGGAAAAACAGAAATAGAGCAGATGATCTTGAAGAACACAATAATGGGGCTGGGGATACAGCTCAGCGGCTCAACCTCTGCCTGGCAAACGCGAGGTTGTGAGTTCAATCCCCAGTACCAAAAAAAGAGAACATAATAATAATATAAAAGGCAGGATTCGCGCCCACGGGACTCACCCTGCCACGTCACATTCCCTCATGGGAGCTCTGGCTTCAGTTCAGTCCAGGGAGGCGGGGAGTGCTGCTACGCAGGGAGCTGCCGGTGCCCTCAGAGCTTGGGCAGACTGCCCGCCGGGGCCAGGATGATGCCAAAGACGTAGAAAAGGCCCAGTAGGAGGTTAAGCTTGGCCGTCCTCTGGGGCAGTTTGTTGAAGGCCTGGCTGCGGAACTGCCTCTCCAGGGAGAAGGCCATGGGGATGGTGAGCAGGGGCAGCGCCAGACTGATACTGCAGTGTGTGGCCAGGATGCTGAAGATCAGGTAGGGCAGGAAGAGCAGGGTGTTGTAGAGCACGTAGGAGCAGGTGGGGCCAATGAGGATGGCCAGCGTGACGATGCCGGCCTCCCGGTCGGACTCCATGTCCCTGGAGTTGTTGGAATGGAGGATTGCCTCGGTGCTGAGGGCCAGGGGGATGGCATAGACCAGAGGGAAGACTGCCAGCGACCCCACCTGGACAGCGTAGGCGAACATCACGGCCAGCGGGCCAAAAGTGATGAGGATGACGAGGTCTCCCAGGGCCACATACTTGAATCCAATGCCTGCGGCCAGAAAACCCAGAGAGGGGGTGTGAGAGCAATGGCTGAAATGGGGGGCTGCTCAGCAGCAAAGATGGGCCACATCTGGCAGGCGCAGACTGCGAGGGTGGCAGGCACTCATCCGGTCCCCCAGCGCAAACTCTGACTTTGCCCCCAGTGACACCAGGACTGAGAGAAACCCGGTTAGGTCTCAGAATCCACCTGCGCGGATTCACACCCACCAGTGCCTGCCTACTGGGACCCAAAACAAACTTCCGCAGCAAAGCCCACTGGCTCCCATCACCCAGTTCAGTGGAGCAAAAAGGCCCTGCAACCCAGTCCTGAATTCCCCTTTCTCCAGCCTGTGAGACTCGGTCAGATCCGCCCTCCACGGGGTGTCCACCCAGCCCCCTTCCCACCCCTCCTCTACACCCCCAGTGAATCGTAGGGACAGTTCAAGGTCCCTGAACGCCACGTAAAGAAACTTTCACCCATGTATGAGTAAAACAGCCAGGCCAGCAAATGAGCACACTTGCCCTCTTGGTTCCCAGGAAGTTTAGATGAAGCCAGCCCTGACATCCACTCCTGCCCGCTGCCTTCCTTCAAAACCTGTCCAGCCCACATCTTTCAAACCTGCTGCTGCCTTCTGTTCCCAAAGCCACGCCATCCTGCCTCAGTCAGTTCGCAAGTCCAAGTCAGGGCACTGGATGCCCGGAAGACACCCTCTCCTGAATGGTTTCCGGGCAGGATAGGTGAGAGGTGCCCCCCAACAGGAGGTGCCTAGGGTTCAAACAAGGGTTCCACAAGGTGCCTCAGGGTTCAAACACAAAGAGCGCTCTCAGGTGACCAGTCACATCTTTTTTTTTTTTTTTTGTCTTTTTCCTTTTTACGGTACCAGGGATCGAACTTACGACTGCCTGCTTCCAAGGCAGGCACGTATGCCGCTGAGCTAAATCCTCAGCCCCGACCAGTCACATTTTAATCACTCTAAAATAGTGACAACGGTCTGAAAAATCACAGGAGCCAAGGACCAAGACTGAGGCCAGGTTTACCTGCCCAGTAGCAGCCAGGTGCACTGAACTGAAAAGACCCCGCTGGCTTCTTCAGAAAGAAGCATCCACAAGAAGGGCACCACTGGCACGGCCTCCAATCTCCCCAAACGCCAGCGAGCGAGGCCTATGCCTTGAGCCCCCAGCTCACCATCACCTGGCTGTCTGACAACCTGCCTTCAGCAGGAAGTTTCTCCAAGTGGACGCCAGCTCCAGGTTTGAATTAGTAAAATGAAATCCCTTGCAATATGGCCCTCGTGTAGGGGACTCCCTGCCCAGTGACGATTCCAGCCAGAATACGCCCAGCCAGTTCTAGCAAGCTCCACAACAAGCTGCTGCCCTTCTTTGGCTTATTTCCTACTCCCCAAGCCAAAGTCAGAGCTCTGGTGTGGAAGCAAACACACACAAGACAGCCTTGACCTTTGGCTAGATCCTCCAAGAACACCTCTTCTTATCACTGCAAAAAACTGGCTTCAGTGAAGTGGGACAGAGATGCAGGTCCCCACCTTAAATAGGTCCTATGCCAAAACAAGCATAAACGCACTCAAGGAGACAAAGATTTGATGACCTTCTTGAGATTATCTGGCACTGGGAAAAAAAAGAAAATAAAAGCCCTTGGGGAGAGAGCTGTTGCCTAAGTGATTCAGTTTCTTTTTTTTCTTTTTTCTTTTGTACCTGGGATTGAACTCAGGTGCTTATGCCGCTGAGCTAAACCCCCGGCCCACCTAAGTGATTCAGAAATGCAGCCTAGCCTTACTGCTGGCCCACGCTGTAATTCCAGTACTCACGAGGCTGAGGCAGGAGAGTCATCCTGAGTTCAAGGTCAGCCTGGGCTACATAGTAAGTTCAGCCAGTCTGAACTACATAGCGAGACTCTGTCTCAGAACAAAACGAAACAAATGTGGCTGGACAGGGCATGGTGGTACACAGCTCTCTCCCCAAGGGCTCTATCATTCTTTTGATGCTATAATCCTAGCATTTTGGAAGGTTGAGGTAGGAGGATTGCAAGTTAAAGCCCAGCCAGGACACTTTAGCTCAATTTTGCCTCAACATGAAAAAAAAAAAAAAGGCCAGAGATATAGATCAGTTTGAAAGCCTGGGGCTCAATCCCCAGTACCAAAAATAAATTTTTAAAACATATATATGTGTGTATATAACATATATGTGAATTTCTTTCCCATTCCACACAGGAGTTTCCTTCCAGACATACCAACCCCTTAACACCATTTTCTGAATGAGCAGCTCGGTGAAACACTCAGCCTCTCATCCACACAGCAGCCAGAATTAATCTGCGAAGACATAAATCAAAGCGTTGGCAAGGATGCGGAGCCACTGGAACGCTCATTTATTGCTGGTGGGAATGTGAAATAGTATCACCACTTCCAAAAATGGTCTGGCAGTTTCGCAGAAAATGAAATATCACCTATCCTGTGCCCTGACAGCTCCATTTCTAGGCATTGACCCAAGAGAAATAGCCAAACTACACACAGGTCCCTGCACGGGAGAATAAAATGTGGTATATTCATCAACGGAGTGCTATTCAGCAGTAAAAAGGAGTTACTGACACACATAACAACTTGATACGTTTTGAAAACATCATGCTGTGCAAAGGAAGCCAGACATAAGCGTTTGGAGGGAAATAAATATGGCACTCAGCAAACAGTTCCATCTGTACGATGTTCTAGAACAGGCGTAACGAATCCACGCGGAAGCTAGATGTGAGTGTATCGCTGCTCTGCTTCACATTTCCAGTGTGTTCATTCGTGAGTATTTGAACCACCACCGACCAGCCACTGCCTGGGCACTGCGGGGTCAGCTGAGAACAAAGAGAGAAGCATCCCTGAGCACAGGGAGCTCAGGGCTCGGGCAATCACTGCCCAAATCACCGCCCTTTTACCCGGCACAGGTGCAGCAGAGGGCAGTCTGTGCTGTGCAGAAAATAAAGCAGAGAAGAGGAGCGGGACAGGGTGGAAGGATGCAGGGGAAGGCGTGTGATGCCAGCAAGGGAGAGGGCGAGGCCTCATGGCACAGGTGGCACCTGAGCAAAGGGGGAAGAAGTCAGAGTGAAGCCTCCAGCCAGACGGGGCAAGAGCCTTCCAAACAGACGCAGTCAGGGGTCCCGAAGGTACTCCGAAGGAAAGCAGGATTTGCTGCTGAGCGGGGTGAGCGTGAGAAGACCCCAGGAGGAGGCTGACTCTGGGTTTGAAGAACTAGAAGGAGGCAGTGGCTGGGGTGAGGCTCAGCGGTAGAGCAAAGGGGGAGCAAAGGGTACCTCTACCTCAGCGGTAGAGGGCCTGCCTGGCATGCTCAGGGCGCCGAGTCTGATCCCCAGCACTGAAAGAAATGGGAAAGCCATGAACAGGGCAGGAGTGTGGGGGCAGAAGATCCGGAATGTGACCTGAGTTGTGTAAGCCTGAGGTGCCTTCGAAACCTCTAGAAGTTACCAAGTAGAAAGGTGGGTAAGGGCTGGATAGGCGAACACTCAGTGGCAAAGCTCGTGCGCCGTAAGCACAAGTCTCGGCTTCCGACCTGGCTCCCTCCCCGCAAAACCAAGTTGGATGGGTCTGGACTTTGAGGGTTGCCAACTTAATAATCTGAAGCCCCGAGACTGGCTAACACTGCCAAGAGAATAAGGGGAGACAAAGAAAAGAGGTCCACAGACAGCCTTGTTGGCTGGGGAGTAGGGAGGAGCCGGCAGGAGCCGGCTGATGGGAACGATCCGCCCCTGCGCCCTCTCAGTCCTATCCCAGGGGCTCTCGCGGCCTCTGGATCCAGACCATGCCAAGCCCTCCCCTCCCCAGGACATCTGCATTTGTTGGCCCTTCAACCCAAAGGACTCAGCGCCACAGTTAGCTTCGAATTCTACCGAAGGACCAGTTCCCTATCCTTCAAGTCTTAGTGCGAATGTCACCTACACAGAGAGGGTGCCGGGGTCCCAGCCTTCAGTATGAGGGGCGCAGTAGGTCTTCCAGTCACTGGGGGTGCACCCTTAAAGCCTTTTCCTTACTCTTCCATTCCCAGCCCTAAAGTAAACAGACTCTCCACCACACATTCCATGACTGTCTTGCTAGAGGCCAAAAGGCCACAAGTCAATTGAGCATGGACTGAAACCTCTAAAACCAAGAGCCAAGTAAACCTTTCTTCTTCTAAATTTATCCTCAGGTATTTTGTTACAGAAACAGGAAGTGATTTAAAACACAGATGGCTTGTTTACCACTAGCATCTTACACTTTCTATTTTAGCACCCTATTCATCTATTGATTTCCTTTATTTAAAAAAACTTTTTCTTTTTTTTGGTTTAAAATAGGATCTTACTATGTAGTTCAGGCTGGCCTTGAATTCATTATGTTACCCAGGCTGTCCCCAAACTCACAGCAGTCTTCCTGCCTCAGCCTCCTGAGTATGGGATTAGAGATGTAAACCACCACGCTCAGCTACCGAACTTTTAAATTGTCCCAGATTTACAGCTCACTGCCAGAACATTACAGTTTCTGGATCTTCCTCCCGCCCCTCTGGGTGCTCACCCACAGCGCCCTGTACCTACCTGGTCCTCCTCATGTCTACCACCTCGTAAGCTGGAGGGCACAGGGCTTAGTCCTGGTCCTCCTCAGCCTTTGAGCTCTCTCTGTGGCCCCCTGAACTCAGCATCTGTCTACATCCAGCTAACCATCTGCCGTCTCTGGAGCTCTAACAGACACTGAGATGCTCCAAGTCGATCTCCTGATCCGCCCCAAATCTCTTCTGCCCACCTTTCTCCGTCTCACATGATGGCATCAGCTGTACCCGTCCAGTGTCCAGACGGAAACTTTCGGTTATGCTCGTCCTGCTTCTCTGCTCACATTCGACCCGTCGCAAACCCTGCCGACCTCCAGATGCAGCCTGAGCCCGACGCCGTACCCCTCCTGCCACCCTCACCCGAGCCCACACCACGCTGGATACTGACCTGGTCATCTTGGCCCGTCCCTGCCCTCTATCCTTCACCTCAAACCTCAGCCAGTGACTGGTTAAAACACAGTCCCCTCCCACATGTCTTCCTCCTCAGAGCGAGGTCCAGTGGGTGGGCTGTGAGGCCTGCCTCATTCATGGGGTGCTCCCTCCCCGCCCCAGGCTGTCCTCTCGCTGGGCTTCCCGCTACTGTCTTCCTCGCTCACACACCAGGGTCCTCACTGTCCCTCATGTCCTCGAGGTCCATTTCCGCCCGACACTGGGTTCCCTACTCTTCCCTTTTCCTGGGCCTACCTTTGTCCACCATCTCTTACCTCCTTCAGACCAGCTCAAAGCATTACCTTTCCCATGAGGCCTACCGTGACCAAACTACTCACAAACAGTCCCCCGAACCCCCTTCTCTACGGTCCATTCCCCCGCCCCCATCACAATCCTCACTCTGAAATACAGTGATACACTGCAAAATGGGTACCGCGGTCGATGAGGGAACAAGTATATGATGGTCCTATAACAGTAACATAAAACAAGACCATGTTAGTGCTTTATGTGTTTACCGCACTATACTTTTTGCGATCATTTTATTGGATTTTTTGAGACACTTTGCTGTGTTGCTCAAGCTGGCTTTGCACTCCTAATCCTTCCTCAGCCTCCCAGGTGCTGGGATTACAGGGCAAGGTCTGTGTCTGCTGTGTGCACACAGAACAGTGCTCCGTACACAACGGTTACTCAGTAAGTAGGGCTTAACCCTCGCCATCACCTTAACCAGCTGCTACACCATGTGCCCTAGCAAGCTAACAGTGCCCTAGAAAGCTAACAGCTACGGTGCAGAGCACGGAAGTATATACCTGTAATCCCGGCCTGGGGAGGCTGAGGTACGGGGTTCGAAGTGAGTTTGAGGCTGGGCCAAGCTACATATTGAGTTCAAAACCAGCCTGAACTTCAAGACCCTGCCTCAGAAAACAAAGCAAAACAAAAAATTTAACAGCCATTTTAATCTCTTCAGATTTAATTCCACTGAAACTTGAAGCTATGGCATTATAAAATATGGTTAACAAGAAAAAAAAAAAAACTAGATTTTAAAAAATGCCCCTACGTGGATCTTTCGGAGAAAGGGTATCTCCCATTTCTGCTTCTCGTTGAGTTTTTTGAAGATTCCAGATAACTTAGAAAAGCATCACTGGATGTGGCCATTCACATGTGGGATGTGTTTAAAAATACAGGGGATGCTTCTGCCGAGAGCCATGGAAGAGAGAGGGAGGGACCCTCAACACAAACGGCAGCTTAAACCTCAGCAACAGTGTGACAGCTTTTTAACCCGGGGGTCTCAGTGGGTTGTGAGCTGCTGAGAGGTATTTTCTACTCTGTTGCAAATACTAGATCATGAATAGTGCATTAATGTGGAATTTTTTTTTTTTGTCGGTACTGGGGATTGAACTCATGACCGCCTGCTTGCAAGGCAGGTGCTTATGCCGCTGAGCTAAATCCCCAGCCCCATTAATGTGGAATTTTGCTTCAACCTGCAAAAAGCTGCTACAGAGACTCATCAAATGTTAAAATTAGTGTATGGTCAAGGTGCAGTGACCATGGAGACGGTTTGCGAGTGGTGTGAGCAATGTTGTAATGTTTGTGAGTCAGTTGAAGACAAAAAGAATGTCCTTCAACATCAGAAGTGTACAAAAAAAAAAAAGGTTGAAAGAATAAGTGAAATAATTGGATCAAAGAGACAGTTCAGTGACATTTCAGAGGATGCGAAGGTCAGTTCCATTCAGAGCATTTTAACAGATGTGAGCATGAGCTGAGTATCAAATCCGTCTCACGTATCTGACTGCTGAACAAAAGCAACACCCATCAGTAACTTCCTTGAGCTGCGCACTTGTGCCACGTCAGATTTTAGTAAACGTCATGAGGGGGCAGAAACTTGGGTCAGTGATTATGCTCCTGAGACCAAGGTTCAGAGTTCTCAGTGGAAATTATCCAACTGGCCCTGTGAGAGGAAAGTAAATTAGTCAGGATCCAGTGTAAAGATGAGCCTGTGATTTCTGACCTTGATGAGGTTGTGGGAGTTGAGCTTGTAACCAGGAATCCTGAATATTAGAAGAGCTTATTACAGCATTTGAGAAATGATGTGTGAAAAAAAAATAGCCTAAGAAATGGGCAGGCGGTTTTATCTTCCATTATGACAAGTCTGTGTCATGCATCACTGGATACAGTGATTCCTGTTAAAAATGTGATTTTCTACATTGCTGGATCTAATGTTGCAAATTCTTGCTCTTCCTCAAAGTCAAGAGGATCATGAAAGGTAAACATTTTCGATAAATTCAGATTATCAACGTAGCCGCCACAGAACAACTAAAGTCACACATGGACTACCAGGACCTTTTCAGGGTCCCGCTAAGTTCCCAGGCTGGGCTGGAGTACGTGGTCCATCTACCTGCCTCAGCCTCCCAGAGTGTGGGACTACAGGCATGCCCCGCCCAGCATGGCTTCACAACAGTCCTGGAAACCTCCAATATCAAAGCCTGGAATCATCCAAGAATTACTCAGATGTGTACATTCTTTTGTCACCCCCAGATACCTTCACCAGTGTCAGTGGGCCTCTCAGCTTGGTGCCCATTGACCCCTACAAGAAAATTAAGGCACTGGGAACGGGCAGGTCAATTAAATGGTAGGAGTACAGCTCTTGGCATTGGCCTTAATCTCTAGCACCTCAAAAAGAAAGTCCTGCCAAGTTGAAATTTCTCAAAACAAATTTGACTTTTTCCACTTTTTTTTTTTTTTTGTCTTTTTCCTTTTTATTGGTACCAGGGATTGAACTCACGACTGCCTGCTTGCAAGGCAGGCACTTATGCGGCTGAGCTAAATCCCCAGCCCCTTTTTTTCATTTTTGAGATAGGGTCTAGCTCTACAGTTCAGGCTGGCCTTGAACTCACAGTGATTCTCCTGCCTCAGCCTCCCAAGTGCTGGAATTATAAGCACCACCCCAGCTTTCCATCATTTTCAAAGACATAGTGGTTTCCAAACAAAACTAGTGCTGTTTTCAAATGAATAAATTGCACATGAAATATATGTAACAATTCACATAAAACTGGCATACTCATGAACTGAAACAAAGATAACTGTGTGTGTGGTTCCTTCCCATAGAAATATAGTGAGGGCTCTGCTCACACTAGTAATAATTGGTTTTATTCAAAGATAAAGCTGATAACTGATAGGTGATCAGTCAAGTTTGAGTATAAGTGCTTGTCAGACCACTGCACAGTATACAGGAAAACTGAGTAGGGCAAACCTGTGGCACGCATTCTACAACAGGCTGTATCAAGGAAAGCTCTGAAAGGTTCCATCACTGCTTTAGGGGCCAGGAGACCGTGCTTTGGACAGCTAGTGAGTTCCTTAACCCTCTGCCTCCTTTTTGCTGTTGTTTATGGCTATGTGCCTCTGTTTCCTCATCTTGAAGCGCAAGTAATTTTTTTTTAAAGACTAGAAAATGAACCCTAAACCTTTGCTTTGAGCTGCATTCTCATAGCCGACCCCAATTTTACTTTGAGACGGGGTCTCACTAAGCTGCCAGGCTTGGCTTGAACTTGCAACTCTCCTGCCTCAGCCTCCCACAGTGCCAGGTTACGTCCTGCTTCTCAAGCACTTAAGTCTTAAGTTCTCAGCTTGCTTCATGTAAGTGAAGGCACAGTGGAAACCTTGGGAAACCCTGCACTCACTACCACCATGTTTTCCACAAATGGAAGTGGCAATGCTTTACATTTTTTGCACATCTAACTTCTGATTTAATAAAAATCACTTCAAGTCTGTAAAAATAAATAAATAAAAATGCCTCTAACATGTATTTGAGTCGCATCCAACATAGATAACCAAGCCAGCAGCATCTTCACAACAGTTTTCAGAACATCTGCTGCCTACACATCACAGATTTTAGGAAAAGTGGCCTAACTTTGGAAAGGGCTTTGACATTTTTAGGATTCTTGAGTGAAGCGGCAGTTTCCTGCATATGTAACTGAGACCCGCAGCACAGGAAAACAGGCCAGTTCTTACCTCCCGTGTAGAGAAAAGAGCCAGACAGTCCTCCAAAGTAGATGAGAGCCAAGTGCTCCAATTTCAGAGAGGACAGACAGTACAGGCAAGCAGCACAGACGCAGCCCAAGGTGTAAAGGAAGACTCCGAACCGAACAACGTCCTGGGGCTCCAAGATTCGGTCCACCAGCGTCCTGTCATCACTCTTCTTGTGGTCAATGCCCTTAGAAAAGTCATAGTAAGTGTTGACCAAATTGCCGGCCCCGTGCACAGCCAGGACAGCGACGGCACAACCCACCAGCAGCCTAGGATCCAGGACGCCCTGGGATCTGTACGCCAAGGCGCTGCCCAGGGCTACGGGGGTGAGCGAGGCACTGAAGCTCCAGGGCCTCAGGGCCAGCACGTAGGAAGCGCATTTTTGCCTGCGGGAGCGCTGGGGAGGCCTGTCGGACTCCGGCCAGTCATTCCCCAGCGAATTCATGTCACCGACCTTGGCTGTCTCTCCCGCCTGGATGTTAATCCTCTCCCCGGCTGACTGCAAAGCAGCCATGGAACCCGCACGTGGCGAAAGTCTGTTCTAAAAGCGAGCCACTCACAGAGACCGCCCCGAAGCAAGGATAGGCTGGGCGGCGGGGCCTGACCTTTCTTAGGTTCCACCCCAGGGCAGGGCTAGGGAGGCGGTGGGGACCGGAACCGCACCTAGCCAGCCTCACACCTCCAGAGGCCCGGCGGCGCCGCCCCAACAGCCCGGCACCTGGGTGGGGAGTGAATGAAAACCGCCTCCACTCCCAGCCCCACGCTAGAATTCAATACTCAAGCTCGGCCACCTCCCACAGGCTGCCATATTGTGCGCCGGCCTCAGGAGGCCGCCCGGAAACACAGGCTACGGCGAGGGCAGGGCCGCACCCAGCACTGCCTGAGGGAGAGGCGGGGCCAGGGGCGGGACTTTTGGTGAGGGGCGGGACCTCGTGGGCGTGGTCACGCATCAGGACCCCGCCCCTGGACCTAGGGCTTCAGCCCCAGCGCTGTGCAGCTTCTCAGAGTCTTCTTGGGAAAAGCTTTATTTAGCATACCAACAAGAACCCTAAGGCGGGGTTCTTTGCGATTTACCAGGCACAAGATTATCATTAATTTTATGCGTGGGTGCCTGTGTGTGTGTGTGTGTGTGTGTGTGTGTGTGTGTGTGTGCGTGTGCGCGTTCCTGGGATCTGTATGCACTGAGTACATCCCCAGTCTTTTTTTCTTTTCTGAGACAAAATCTTTCGAAGTTGCCCAGGCTTGGCTCCAGTTTGCAATCCTCCTGCCTCAGCTTTCCAGGGTGCTGGGATTGCAGCATGCATCCATCACTAGCAGCTAGAATTCACTAATTTATTCACGTAGCAATTAGTTATTGAGCCCTTTCTGTGTGCAGAGACTACTCAGATGATGTCTGTTGTATCTGCTGTGGAAATACAGATGCTGCTGGACTTGTTTTGGGAAGGTTACTCCAATAAATCCACCCTACAGTGAATATATTGTGCCTCAAAGTGCATTAATATATGTAGCCTCCTGAGTTTAGCTTTGCCTGTGTTTAACGCTCAGAGCAAGTAGGGCAAAATCATCCAACCCAAAGCCTATTTTACCATAAAGTGTTGAATGGCTCATGTAACTTACAGTGCTGTGAAAGTGAAAAACAAAATGATCGTGTGGGTTGTGCACCAACACAAAGCTTAAAAATCATAAATTCAACTGTCCAAATAAGAGGGCTGGTTGTACCCTACAAAGATGTGCTCTTGGTGGGGCTGGGGATTTAGCTCAGTGGCATAAGCGCCTACCTTGGAAGCAGGCGATCTTGAGTTCGATCCCCGGTACCAATAAAAAGGAAAAAGACCAAAAAAAAAAAAAAAATGTGCTCTTGGCTTCCTAACTTTTCATTCAGTGACACCTGTCAGTAGCTGGAAATCTGCCATGATGGGATAAATATTTATAGCCTTCAAATCAGCAAATGCTCTAGTGCTGTCTGGATTTGAGATGATGGCAAAGAAAATGTTAATAATTGGGATGAAACTAAAGGTGCATCAGCTCAGGACATTGTTAATAGCGCTAAGCATTTGCAGGAATCCTTTCTCCAGGCTTGGGAAGTTATTAGTTCAGCAAATTTGTTGTTCATGGTATTAACAAAATAGCCAAGTCCTATATCCTTTGATTGTTTCACTTCGCTCTTGATTAACATAAAAGAAAATAACAACCAACATTTGGGTCTGAACTGCACTCATTGGCCAAGTGCAGTCATACTAAGACCACATAATACAAATGCATACTGTAAGAATCAGCTCTATACAATTCTATTTACAATAAAGAGTATTATATATTATTATTTATAAAGAGTCCATTAACAGAGGGCTGGGAATAGAAATTATGGCTCAATTACGTGATGAAATACTGTGTAGCTATCACAAAAACAAAAGAACAAGGAAGCTCTCTGTATAGGAATATAGAAAGACCTCCAAATTACGTTAAATTTTTTAAAATGCAGAACAATATATGTAGTATAACAAAAAGGAAAATAAAAATATTTTTTATATTCGCTTTTATTTACATAGAGAAGCACTAGAGATACACATGAAACAAAATAAGTAGTGAAGGGATAGGAGTGAATAAATATAATGCCCTTGAGACTTGGATAATGAATATACTACTTTTTGGACGGGGGCGTACCAGGTGTCTGACCTAGGCAAGTGCTCTACCACTGAGTTATAACTTTAGGCTTAGAAAAATTTTAATGATTAACGATATAAATGTTAGAGGTGGTGACCCATGCCTGTAATCCCAGCACTCAGAGAGGCTGAAGCAGCAGGATCATCAGCTGGAGCCCAGCCTGGGCAATTTGGTAAGACTGTCTCAAAATAAAAAATAAAAAAGGGCTGCGACTGTATATCAGTGCCAAGGCCCTGAGTTCAGTCCCCAATACCACAGAATAGAGCTGGAGACACAGATATTGAAGCTGTAATTTATCAAAACTTTGCCTCAAAATAAATGGCCTAAGAGGCCCTGCCGGCTGGGGAGAGGCAGCAAGGAAGCCGTTCAGCCTCCTGTGTGCCAGCAGAGGCCAGGCTGGCCAGGGAGAAGCAGCAAGGAAGCCACATCCTCCCCAAAGAACCGGACATGACACAGGCTGACAGCTATTAACTGAAGTAGGGAAGCAACCTGACATTTACCTTGTTTGACTGACTCTGCAGGCCTGGGCCCAGCAGTCTGAGCGACTAGTCAGACGATAACAGTATGCAATGTAGTAACAATTGCAAATTTCCCACTGTCCTATCACTGTTTTATTTTACTGTTCTGTTTTACTCCCTTAAAAAGAAATAAAAATAGGGCCAGGTACTTAGCTGAGTGGCTCAAGCCCTTGACTGTTAAGTGTGAGGTTGTGAGTTTGATCCCAGGTACCAATAAATAAATACATATAAATGCCCCGAGATATAGTTCACACCTTTCAATCCCCATTACTGCAAAGCAAACTCTTGAAGTATGTTGTTAGGCACTACCAATTATTATGAGGTCTCTCTAAATTGGTAGTTTAAACCTGTAAAATTTTAACTCATTGTTTTTATTGTATTAGTAACCAATGACAATATTTAAAGAAAAATGTCTTTCTAAAATCTCATATTTTGTGCATTTAAATAGATGATAAATGTATAAATATTTTAAAGGGTTATACTTATGTTGTACACTTGTATTTTTTAAAGTTTTCAACTTTTTAACAAATTGCAAATCTTTTCTTAAATATTCTTTTATTTCTTAAATATTCCCTTACATTATCGTTACTACTGGCTACATATGCTTCCTTAATAAGACCACATCATATTTTATTCAGATTCCTAATGCAAGATTTAGGAGTGTCCAATGTTTATTGTTTGCAGTTATTATAACAGTTGCGCTGTAGTAAAAACAGAGACATAACTAAATTCTATTTTGCTATTCATTTTCTGGAAGATTTTTTTTAAAGATGCTGCTTTGAAATGTTTTATTTATAAGTAGCTCTTTTATTTAAAATACAGCGATGGTTTCTCGAAAAATGAGCTCCTGAGCTAATTTTGGGGAAGGCTACCCATTTTCAGATGCAAATAGAAATAATTTCAGATGCAAAATTAAAATCACGGACCACTGCTGCACACTTTCTCAGCAACAATTAGAAGGTGCCAGCGAGGCCTAGACCGCGGTCGAATCACAGCAGGCGCAAAAAACCTACGCTCACCGTTCCTGGTCTCAATTCTGGGTACCCAGACAGCGGACCGCCCAGATGCTGCGGGGAATCATAGTGGCGTAGCACCGGATGTGTGCGTGGAAGTGACTGAAGTCAACTCACGACCGATTGGGTCTCCCTAATGGACGCAAGCCTTATTTCGCCTGCCACTGGCCGCGTGGTTTGTCTATTTGAACAGTCCCCGCCTTCTGGAGAAGCCGGGTCCCAAAGCTTCACTTCTCCTTCACTACTATTGGTCTGTCCTCCAGTCCATCTTTTTAGTACGTCCAGTGATTGGTCCTCAGGTCTCGGAGCCCGCCCTATCTCCCGCCCGGCTTAGAGGACAGCGGGGAAAGCGGGCGGTGGGGCCGGGGCCCTGAAGCGGTGGTAAAGGCGCTGGCTGCGGCAGCTGAGGCGTTGGCCGAAGCCGCACGGTGAGTCTAGGAGCTGGCACCGACCCCTCCAAGGCGGCGGAATGTCCAGACTCACGGGCAGCCTGGTCCGTGGTGGGAGGACCCCGGGGAAGCCGCCAGTCTGGAACGTGGTGTCCCCGCGGTACCGGTCCCACGACCTGGGCGCCGATGAGCCCGCGACGCCCACTCGAGAGGTGACGCCCACCTCCCGCGAGCGCAGGGGCCCGCCCAGGCCTTCAGCTGGCCGTGCGACCTAGGTACCTTAAAGGCCAGCCCCTCGGCGCCCGAACTGCTGTGGCGCCTTGGGGTCTCCCGTCCCCGTCACAGTCACCCCTTCCTTTATCTGGGCCACCTAGTAATAGTGGACCCGTCTCGAAGGCGCCACACTGGGCGGCGCTCCACCTTGGGACCTCGCAGAGACCCAGTGCCTGGGGCTGAGCTCGCTTCCATCCTTGGGGTTCGCTTTCTCTGCCTGTCCCACGCCCACGGCCCTGGTTTGAGCCACCCAGCTTTAACTTCCTTAAGCTGTTAGCAACTCCCTCAGGATATTTGGTTTCCAGTGGTTGCATTGAATTCAGCCTGAAGGAGATAGGTGGCCTGTTTCGGCCTCCTTCTGTCCTACGCACACACAAACACACACACAGGCACACGGAGTTTTCCTACGGGAATCTCTGGTTTCCTCTTCCTAAGAGGCATTTCCCTTTCGTGTTTTTCTCAGCACTGGAGTATTTAAAACTTTTCTAACCAGTTATTCCTTGGTTTAATGCCACTGTCACGAATTCATTCATAAAAAAGAGTTTTGGGAAGTTGGTTTTTTAGTGTGTTCTGAACATACTCGCAGTGTGAGTTGAACCCTTTTATGGCCACTTTATGGTGGTTGTCTCTATTCCTGTTTCCTGTGTATCTTAGGCTCATTGAGGAAAGGAATAATACACAGGAAGTTCATGATCTCAGGAACGAAGTGATCTCTTTGTAGCTCATATTTGAAGTACAGGCACCCCTTAATATCTGTGGAAGACTTGTTTCAGGACTCTAGCTGGGCATTGAGGCATATGCCTGTGATCCTGACACTTGGGTGGCTGAGCCAGGAGGATCACTGCCAGTTTGAGGCCAACCTGGGATGCATAGCAAGTTGAAGGCCTGCCTGAACTATGCAGGAAGACCTTGTCTCAGAAAACTAACCACCCCCCCACCCCCCCACCCCCGCAAAATCCAGGTCTTGCCTCCTATACCAAAACCTGCAGATGC